GTCCTTTTTTGGTGTATTACATTGCTTGATTTTCAGACGTTAAATCACCCTTGCAGTCTTGGGATAAATCTCATTGGTCGTAGTGTATAACTTCTTTGGATTCAATGTGTTGTTAGTATTCTGTTGATGATTTCTGCATCTATATCTGAAGAGATATTGGTGCTCCAGCAATAATTCTCTCTTCCCTCCTGCACTGCCAATATTTTGTAATGCTGTTTGGTCTTCTAACTTAAAAAATAAACAAACTCCCTCTTTACCTGACTTCCCCCTCCAGCTGCTGTCCCGTTTCTCTCTTTCCCTTTACAGCAAACCTCTTGCAAGAGTTGGCTATGCTCACACCCCACCTCCCCTCCTATTATCCTCTCCCATGCCCACTGCTCTCAGGCTGTGCCCAGCACTCCACCAAAGCCAGCCTTGCTCAAGTCAGCAATGAATGTGCCCAACTTCAGTCCCCCTCTGGCTGATCTATCGCCAGCACTTGCTGCGGTGGATCCCTGCTGCTCCTTCTTCCCTTGGCTCCTGGCTCCCCTCTCTCTCAGGGCTCCTCTGCTGTCCCCCACTCACTCTGTGGCATCTCATCCAGCCTCCCAGCTTCAAAGCCCACCTATGTGCCTGTGGCCCCCAAACTCTCTCTCCAGCCCAGTCCTCTCGTCTGACCTCTAGACTTAAATACCTACCTACCTACTGGACATCCAAACTTGAACATTCGATAGGTATCTCAAACTAAGATCTTCCTTCCAAACAACTGCACTTCCTGTGGTCTTCCTATCTCAGTTAATGACTAATCCACCTTTCCAATTGCTTAGATAAAAATGCCCCAGAATTACCCTTCGCTTCTCTCATTCATTCTCATACACCTCTTGTCCATCCCAGCTGGAGAATACCACTTGCTCAACCTTCAAAATAAATCAAGAATTCAATGATTTCTCATTGCTGCCACCACTGGGGCCAGGCTGCCTCACTCTGACCTGCACTGCTGGGTAAGTTCCTCCTAACTGGCCTCCCTTCCTCCTCGCCCTGCTTTGGCCTATTCTCAGCGTGGCAGCTAGAGGGATCCCGGTAGGACCTGGGTCAGGCTTTGCCAGTTCTCTGTTCCAAACCGCAAGGCGCCAATGGCCCTGCCATGATGACAAGGCCCCCCTCCCTCTCCGCCCACTCTGTGTGGGCCACACTGGCCTCCTGCTGCTCTTCCACCAGGGAGCACCTGGCTCTGCCTGTGCTGTCATTCACCCTTTCATCTCCTTTATTCCAAAGTCACCAAACTCCGACCCCTGTCACTCCAGCTCGCCCTCCCTGCCTCCTCTGTCTCTGCTGCGCCCACCACCATCTTACCTACAGTGGCTCGCTCAGTGCTGCTCATCCAACTCCCCTACTGGCACGTGAGCTTACGAGGGCAGGGGCCTTGTCTGTCCTGCTCCCTGCTGTCTCCCCAGCCCCAGGATCCATGGCGCACTGGCTGCGCGAGTGAGCGAATGGATGCGCACTCCACTGGGGCCACATCTGGGCAGGCCATCAGCAGCGACAGGCTCCCCTGACCATCGGCCTGGCCCCGTCCTCCTGCGGGGAAGGCCGGGCTCTCCCCACTGCGGCAGGCGCCCTGCCCGCCGCCAGAACACACACGCTGAAGGGCTCACTGGCTCCGCTCTGAAACAGCGAGAGGACTGATCCTCTAAGCCTCCTTTTCCAGGGACCCAGGCTAATAACCGCTCTGCCAAGAAACCTTCAGGGGCTGATGGAGCCCACCTGCGAGTGCCATGCTTGCCCAGACACGTCCAGGATTGCTAACTCCGGGGATTTCTGCATTTCCTCTGTGCTTCTGGGAGAAAGGAGATAAGCGCCTTTGATGGCAGTTCCTGTTTTAACGCTCAGGGGTCCTTCGGCACACAGGCTGGGAAGGCAGCTAAACACCAGGCCTGGGCGAGGGGCGAGTCTGGGTCCCACGTGAGATTCCGCTGAGGGTCCCGTTCTGAACAGGCAGAGAGGGAGACAGACGTGTGGCCAGTGCTGCTCTTGGACGGGCCACTTCGGCCAGAACGAAGCAAGCCTCTGGGGTCAGAACATCCACCATAGTTTCTCAGCTCTGCTCCCGAACTGGCTGTGTCGTCTTGGGCAAGTTATCTAGCCCCTTTGAGGCCTAGTTTCTCTTCTCTGTTTTATTTATTTTTATGAGCTTTTATATAGTGAAGTATACGCACATTCACAAAAGTATGTAAAGCACAAACATGCCGATGAGCACATTTACCATAGAAGGAACACCTATGTAACTACTACCCAAGTCAAGCTAGAGAACATTCCAGAAACCTTATGCCTGTCCCCAACCTCATCTTAACCTCTTCCCTCCTCCCTACTATCCTGACTCTCAGGGCATTCCTTTCTTTGTTTTTCTTGATACTTTTGCTCCCTATCTATCCACAAATACAGTTTACTTCTGCCCTGTATTTCAACTTTATCTAAATAGAATTGCACGGCCTGTTTTCTGGGTTTGTCTGTTTAGCTGCTTTAGCCCCGCACTGTTTTTAGGATCCATGCGTGTTGTCGGTGGAGCTGTAGCTGATTCATTCTCGTCGCAGAGTTCCCCAGGGCAGGACTGACTCGCAGTCATTCATCCGCTGCGCTGCTGCTGGGCACTCGGGTTGGCACCAGGCCGTCCTCAGTGAGGCTGCCGCGAACACCGCCGTGTCCAGGTCTCCTGGCGTACCTGCGCACACGCCTCGATTTGGGACACGTCTTGTGTGGAGCTGCCGGGACACAGGTGAGCACAGCGTCAACTGCAGCAGACAGTGCCACGCGATTTCCCCGGCAATATGTGCAAGTGTCTGTCGCTCTATCTTCCTCATCACTTGAAACCATCTGTCTTTTTCACTGAGTCATGCTGGCGGGTGAGTAGAAGTATCACGCTGTGGTTTAAATTGCATTTCTCGGATTGCCGGCGAGGCTGAGCACTGCTACCTATGTTCACTGGTTATGAGGGTTTCTTCCTTGGGGAAGCTCAAGTCTCTTGCCCAAGCGTCTGCTGGCTTCTCTGTCTTGTGCAGTTTGGGGAGCGAGTCGTCTGATAGTCGTGTGCATTGCCAACTCTTCTTCTAACACACAGCTTGTCTTTTCCTTCTCCTCATCTGCCTTTTAAAGAACAGATGCTCATTTTCTGTCACACCATTTATCCATCTTCTCCTTGTAGCTTAGTGCCTTTTATAACTCATTTACAAAACCCTTCTCTAGTCCAAGATCATGATGACGACATTCTCCTCTCTGTGGTGCCTGAAGGTGCCACCTGTCATAAATCAGTCTACTCTGTAGGAGCCTGCTTCTGGGCTCCATTCTGTTCCACTGGTTCATATCAAAGGAAGCCCGTGGAAGGCAGTAGAAATCCCTGGGTGGGCTCAGGTCTGCCCACGCCATTAAGTTGGGGCTGAGGGGCAAATGTGCTGCGATCATGAAGGGACAGGGAGGCCACAGCTGACAGTGTGACACCACTTATGAGGCCCAGGAGAACAACTTAACTTTCAGCACCATATTGGCTCTTCTAGGGATTTATGGTTCAGTGAAGGGTGTCAGGCAGCCACAGCCCGGGAAGGGAGAGGAGAGCTGGTGAGGTGAAGCGTAAAGGAAGGGGCTCGGCCGAGGGGGCTTGCAGACCAGGAGATGGGCTCGGAGCCCATGAGGGCGTGAGTCTGTCCCTGCCTGGGCTGTGTGCCAAACACCGTAGGAAAGAGAGGACGTCCATGTCTGTGTGGTCAGAACCTGGCCAGCTTTGAGGCTCCTGGTGTCCACACTGCCCATGGAGTTGGCGTGCTGGGCCCCCCAGCGTGGTGATCCCATCATGAAAGCTGTTCATACGATGACTTCACGGGGACGCCAGACGGCAGAGGTAGCAGCTGTATGGCTGGGAGCCATCTTTCCTTTTCTCGCACCCCACGTCCAGACCGGGGGCAAAACCTGGAAGGCCCACCTTTAGAATGCCCCTGCAGCTGACCACTTGGCACCATGCCTGCCCCACAGGACTGCCATGTGACTGTCCCAGCTTGCTGTGTCCACTCCTGTCCCTCTATGGCCCTCTCCTCATGTGGTGGCCAGAGGGCCCTTTTTATAAATCTAACTCAGGTCCTTTGTGTCCCCTGCTCAGAGCCCTCCTGGTGCCCCATTGCGTTTAGAACAAAATCTGAAATCCCTGCCGCATTCCTAGGCCCAGGCAACCTCCTCCCTGACCTCAGGCCCCTTACTCTCCCGTCTTCACTCCCTCAGACCCACTGGCCTCTTGACATGCCTCATGTTCCCCTAGCAGGATCCTACCACAGGGCCTTTGCACTTGCCAGTCCCTCTGCCAGGATGCTCCTCCACAGCATGGCCTGGCTGCCCTGGTCACTTTGTTAAGCCTGCTGGGCCACTCCACCTAATAGCATCCCCCCGTCCTCCCATTGAGCGTTACTTTGCTTCACTGAATTTCTCACCAGCGACCATCACAAGACACATGTCCTTGTCTACCATCTCTCTCTCACAGAGAATGGAGACGAGGGAGGGGAGACATGGCGTATTTGTTTACCACTAAATTCCTCATTACTGGAACAGACCCAGTATGTTTTAGGTACACAATAAATGTTTTTGAATAAAGGTGGAAGTAAGTAAATGGCAACTGTTGCTTTCAGATCAGGGACAGGGAGTGGGTTTGTGGGCCAGGGCAGTGTCCCCATGTGGCTGCAGTAAGGCCGGCAGAGGGGAAGGAAGCAAGAGCCGGACTTCTGATGTGAAGCTGTACGAGCAGACCCCTCATGCCCACCCAGCAGCCAGCAGGGGATCTGGACGCAGTGGGGCAAGTTCCCGGAAGCCCCACGACCCAGGTGGGAGGAGGCCATGCTTTTGGAAAGCGGGCCTGACTTCCCCTGCCAGGGCCTGCTGGGGACACCAGTGGGATGGCTGACTCTTGAGGGCTGGCAGCAGAAGGGCCAGCTTGCCAGAAACACAGGACACAGCAGCAAGTCCCGGGCGAGAGGGGCCGTGATTACCTGGAGGCAAGGGTTCTAGAGGGCGGGCACGCGAGCTACGGGCAGTACCTCCGCCAAGCGGGGCCCAGATGACCCGGCGGATGGCCTGCACCCAGTCCTCCATGTCACGCTGGGAGCTGGCCATGAGCAGGAGCGTCTCCGGGTTGGCCGGCACCTTCTCCCGCTCCCCGGCACCACCTGCAAGACAGGGAGACACAGGCTTACCGCAGGGTCCCTGCGGGACGCCGGGGCGGCGCGGTGGGCCCTCCGCCCTCAGTGCCCTCCAGCCCCAGGGCGTGGGGGTGCTCTCTCGGACCTTCCGGCCCCTCCCTTCGACCTCACGCAGCTTCTTCTCCCCTAGTCTCACTTCGTCACTTTTCCATGTCAAATAGAATCATTCGAAGCATCCCAGGGAACTATTAGGAAAAAAGTGTGCAGATTTTAGGCCAGCTCAGGAAAGTGCCATGCCCCAGAGTGGCCTCAGCCGTGTGGTTTCAACCAGCTTTGCCCACCTCGAGTGCACACTTCGACGTCATTGTGTGCTTTTGACGTGGCTCTGACAGGACGGCCTCCCCTCCCATCCTGAAGGCGAGGCCGTCTCCGTGGGTATTGGCGTTACCGAGGGTGGACGTTAAGCCGGATGGAGCACAGCGCCCAGAATTGTCACCTGTCCCCACTCCCGGCTGGACACTGGGTCGATACCCAAAGGCAGGACACGAAAACTCTGACAGCCGCTTAGGGACTGGCTTTTCCCCTATGGTAGTTCTAGTGGTCCTCAAGTTTTCACGTGTAAGTGAATCAATCTTTGGGACATACATAAAATCATTTATACTGAACTTTATGAGTAACTTAGGGGATTTTCCAGAACAAGCTTTCCCCCACGTGCATAAGATACAATTCACTATTACTCGCCTAAGGCCCCACAACCTCAGCCCCGATCCAGGACTGTCTACTGGTGGGGTGTGACTCCCAGAGACCCGTGTTCCTGGCGGTGGCAGGGCAGGTAGGGGGCGCTGTGAGGGCCGGGCGCTTGCTGGAGCCTGCCACCAAGACGGGACGGGCAGGAGCAGCGCTTACTGAGCGCCTGGTGCCCACGACTCTCCTGTGAGCAGAGCTGACACGCACACCTGCCCTCCTGGGGCGCTTTGATCTCCACAATTACCCATGAGGGAGGTGCTGTTACCTCCACGTTTCACAGATGAGGAAACTGAGGCATAGAGTGAGTAACTGCCTGAACTCACACGGCTAAGGAGCGGCAGAGCCAGGGATTCACGCTCCCGCGGTGCTGGGTTGTGCCCTGCTCCACGGTCCCTCCTGCTGCCCCTCAGCTGACAACTGGGAAACCGCGGAGGCTGCCCCGAGGGCTGGAGCAGGGGTAGGGGTGCATCCTCATCCTCGAGACGGTGCCACAGCAAGGCCTGGGGGCTGGGCAGCGGGGGGCCCAAAGCTTAGGAGGGTGGTGAGCTGCCGAGACCTGCCTTCCACAGCCCCTCACCGCACAGGTGAGCCCTGCGCGCTTGGGCACTGCCACTGAGGCTGCCGCCCAGGGGCAGCTCAGCCTCGGGGACGGTGGCTCTGCACACCTCACGGGCTACGAGGGCTGGAGGAGGTGAGTGTCCTAGGAGGGGAGGGGATGCCAGAGGCCACCAGGAAACTTTTCTACATAAGCATTTGTAGAAAAGCATCTCAAGACGACGCAGAAGACAGGTACCTAGAGATCACAGCTCAGGGATGTGTTGTGGTTACTCGTTTGTCATAAATACTCACTTTTGTACCTAATCTTGAATTTCTCATTGTTAATTATTTTCCCTAAAGAGGGCTACCCAAGTCATATCAGCCTCAGGTCCCACAAAACTCAGATCCATCCTGCCCAGAGGTTGGCAGATGCCCTCACGCCCAGCTGTGCCCCTGCCCAGGGTTCTGCCCCATGTTCTCTGAACCCACATGTTCAACTTTTTAACATACTTCTTTACGTATGTACGTTTAGTTTATGCATATTTTTATATATGTGTAACTTTTTAGGAGACAGCCACGAGCTGTATTCCAAAGTGATCGCGCCATTTTGCATTCCTGCCAGCAGTGTAGGTTCCGCCCCTCCCCCTTGCCAACACAGTCTTCCTGCTTTCAGCGCTTCTCACAGGTGTGTGGGGATGTAACACTGAGCTTGAATTTGCGTTTCCCAAATGACTGATGATGTCGGACATCTTTTTACATATTCGATTGCCATCTGTGTACCTTCTTCGGTGAAACATTTTTTCCAATCTTTTGTCCGTTATTAAATGGGCTGTTTATTTGCCATTATTAAGTTTTGAGAGTTCTTGACATAGTCTAGATACAAGGTCTTTAACAGATAAATGCTTGGCAAATACTTCTCCTAGTCCATGTCTTTTTTTTTTTTTCATTCTATTAATGGTATGTTTCCAAGAGCAGAAGTGTTTAATTTTGCGAAGTCCAATTAATCAATTTTGTCTTATTGAGTGTACTTTTGGTGTTGTATCTAAGAAATCTTTCCTTAAGAAATCTAAGAAATCTCTACTTAAAATGAGGCTCCTGTCTCCTGGTTTGCATGGTTTCTCACGAGAAATTTGCAGGCATCCTTGTTTTTGTAATAGGTGTCTTTTTGCTGTTTCAGTAGTTTGAGATAATTTGATTATGATGTGATTCAGTGTAGTTTTGTTCATATTTTCTGTACTTGGAATTCACTGACCTTCTTAGATTTGTGAGTTTATAGTTTTCATAAAATTTGGAATATTTTGGCCTTTAGTACTTCAAATATGTTTTTCTGTTCCACCTCCTCCCCTCCTCTGAGACTCTAATTACAGGTATATTGGGCTGCCTGAAGTCATCCCCCTGGTACTCTGTTTATGTTGGTTAAATTCTCTTTTCTCTGTGTTTTATTTTTGCATAGTGTGGTAGCAGAATAATAGCCCCCAAAGACACTCCCATCCTTGTCCTGGAACCTGTGAATAGGTTAGGTTACACAGCAAAGGAGAATTAAGGTTGCTAATCAGCTGGCTTTAAAATAGGAAGATTATCCTAGACTGTCCAAGTGGGCCCAATGTAATCACAAGGATCCTGAAAAGCAGAGAAAGAGGCAGAAGAGAGTCAGAGAAAGACATAACTGCAGGAGGAGGGAGTGATACAATGTGAGAAGGAGTTGATCTGTCATTTTTGGTCTTGAAGACAGAGAAAGGGGTCCAGGAGCCGAGGAATGCAGGCAGCCTCTAGAAGCTGGATAGTTCGAGAAAATGGATTGTCTCCTGGAGCCTCCAGAGAGGAACACAGCCCTGCAGACACCTTGAATGACACCTAGTGAAGCCTGTGTCAGACTTCTGATCTACAGAATCATACATCTGTGTTGTTTGAGCCACTGAGTTTGTGGGATGTGTCACAGCATCAGTAGAACACCAGTACAGACAGTTTCGATTGCTATGTCTTCAAGTTCGCTAACCTTCTCATCTATCTAATCTGCCATTAATGCCATCCTGTGTATTTTTTATCTCATACATTGTAGGTTTGATCTCTAGAAGTTTAATTTAGATCTTTTTTTAAAAAAAATCTTTCAAGTATCTACTTAATTTTTGACCATATTGAATACAGTTATAAAAACTGTTTTAATGTCTTTGCTAATTCTAAAATTTGTGTCATTTCTGGGTTGGTTTCAATTGATTGCTTATTCTCCTCATTATGGGTCATCTTTTTCTGCTTCTTTGCATTCCTGGTATTTCTGATTAGGTGCCAGACATTGTGATTTTAAAATGGTTGGATGCTGGATATTTCTGTATTCCTATAAATATTCTTGGTCTTTTTCTGGGATGAAGTTAGGTCCTTGGAAATAATTTGATCCTTACGGATTTAGCTTCTAAGATTTACGAGGTGGATCCAGAGTGCTCGGTGTAGAGCTAATTATTTCCCACTGCTGAGGGAAAACACTTCGGTGCATGCTATGCTACATCCCACCAGCCATGAGGCTCTCCAGCCTGGCAGGTGGAAACAGATACCACTCCCTCCCCTGTGCTAGGGTGTTGCCTCTCACACTTTCTAGCGGTTCTTTCTGCAGCCCTGGGTAGCTTCCTCGCATGCACACGGTGACGAGTGCTCAGCTGTATTCTCAAGGAAGTTTTCTCTCTGTGCAGCCCTTTCCTCTCTAGTATGCTGCCCTGCAAACTCTTGGTGCTTTGGTCTCCCTGGACTCTCAGCTCTGACTCTTTAACTCATGGGGTGCGACAGGCTCCACCTGGGTTTCCCCTTCCTGCATCACAGCCTGGAAACTTTCTCAAGGCAGTCAACTGGGGCACATGCAGGGTTTACCTCGTTTGTTTCTCAAGTCTTGGGGGGGTCACAGTCCCTCACTATCTAATGTCCAGTATCTTGAAAGCATTGTTTCACATATTTTGTCCATTTTTTTTCCTTTGTTTTTTTTTTTTTCAGGTGGGAGGGTAAACAGGTCCCCGTACTTCATCTGGTCCAGAGTGGAAGGCCTACTACCACGTCTCAGGGGCTCATATACGTCAAACACCGTGCAAGGGACTTACCGTGCAGAGTCACGGGCAGTCCTCATAAGCAGCCTAGGAAGGAGTATTACTGACCCCATTTTACAGAAGAAGAAACTGAAGTTGATAAAAGTTAAACATTTAGCTCACGAACACACGAGGGGCCAGGATTGAAACCCAGGTGTGTTCACTCATAAACTCATTCTCTTTTCTCAACATGCAATCTCCTGTATGGCAACAGAGGCGGGTGCAAGGAAGATGAAATGCATTATTTCAACAAACTTTGGGATTTTCTATGGCATTCAACTGTCTATGCTTACCCTTTTCTCTATTCCTTAGAAAACATTGGTATTAACTTTAAAGAAAACAAATTATACCAGCAAATATTTCAGAAAAAAATTTATAATGAAAGACGAGGGTCTGTTATCACTGTTCCTGGTTTTTCCCTTTCCTTTTTTCACCCATCTGTGTGCACTGTGTTGCCGCCACGTCCCGCGGCATGTCACAGGCATCTGAGGCTGTCTTGGCAGCACTTAAAGCCCAACCTCTAAGGGTCAACCCTCGGCTCCACCACTGGAACTTCCCCTAGTGTCAGAGTCAGGCACCTGTAAGGTGAAGAAAATGAAGAACCTACCTTGTTTGGAGAAAGAAATGGGACGGTCCCTTAACTTAGCACCTGGGAGCTCGCGCGCACTCTCTAAACGC